GGGGGACAACGCTCCAAGTCTCTTCAATCTCCATTCTTCGACCGCATCTGCAAGGTCATGAACCCACTTTGGAGGGTCTGGTGGAACTCTGTCTAATGGTGCGTCCGACCATAGAGCTTCTGGAATATCATGTTTGGCTTCTTCCACACTGTTTTCCAAATCATCCTCATAGGACCACAAATCCTCCTGGCCTATCACCTGGTCCATGTGGTGGAAAATATCATCTCCAATTTGGGTCATTTCCAGCCTTCTCTCAGCTCCTTCATTGGGCTTCAATCTTTTCGACTCAGGTGACTCAGCTTGGAGGTCATGAGTAGTCTTGAACGTAGTTGGCTTAAGCTTCTTCCCATCCGGTTCTGGACTTCCATTGGTTAGTGGAATCTTTTGCGCATTTGGTCTGGGCGTAGATGGTCCCGTTTGATTCTTCGCTTCATCTATCAGAAATGGATCTGGTGGGGCGTGAATTAACTCTGGAATCATTTCTTCCTCATACGGCCGTTTCTTGTCTTCTCTCAATTTCTCCTCCTCAGTCAACTCCTTGGGCAACTCGTCAACTTCCTCTTGAGCAACATTGCTTGACCTTGTAGTTGTCTTCTCTTCCTCCATCAAGTCCCTGGCTTCTTCCAGCTTTCCTGCATAAGTTCGGCCAAAAACAATCACAACTTATGCATATTGGTCACCAATCGGCCCCTTCTGTTGGCCACCAACCATGGACGCAAGCCGTTTCGAAGGAACTATCCATCCTCCAAAGTTCTGTTGGTATTCCCAGGAATATATTGTGAAGGATTGGAAGCAAACTAGATATATATTCCTTTTGCAAATTCTCAACTCGCCGAAGCGACCTGCTCAAGAAGACTCTGTTGCCGTCGCCGATGATCCAATTGTCCTGTAGTTCAGTCTTGCCCAAATAGATCCCAATCTTCCACCGAGGATCTGCCTTGAACCCTTGCCTGGGTTTGGTATAGGCCAGACACACTTCTCCATAAGGATTGATCTTGCCATCGCAGACCTTCCCATACAAAAGCTCATGACTTGTCACGCCTTGGCCAGCTTGGAACTTGTTGAATAACCATGCACTGTGTCTACATGCCCATGTCCAGAGGGGGTATCGTCTATTGAATCTAAATTCAATATGTCCTGCAAGATCCTCCATGAGTATTGCAGCAAGGCTACGAATCCGTTGAATAGAAGTCTCCACTAGGCTATTTCCAGCTGAATCATAGATCTTGGTTGTCCTCATTGTGGTCTTCAGACCAATGGTACTCCTCGCAGAAACCAACAGCCTCAAAATCTGCCGCAAAGTGGGCTCATTGTCTGCATAGTATTGCACCTCTCCATGGCCTAACACCTGTGTGAATGCCACCAATTCATGAGTGATTAAATTCATCTGATTCTTCGACTTCAGCGGAAGTGCCATCAAATAACCGGTCTCCGAGCACACTGCAACCATCAACAAGGCTCCCCCTTCATCTATTACGCCTGCTTGGACTTCATCCAGGGCACCTGATCCTCCAGCTCTTATCCTGCAGAAAGCAAAGGAAATTGTAGGCACTCCTTATTCTCTTGCTCGGCCGCTCCTGCGATGCTGGTCCTATTTGGCAGTTTCACGCATGAGGTGCACCATCCAGCATACGGGAGGTGAGTTAGCATATGCTTTCATTTCTCTTCTTCTGTAGGAGCTCTTACTACTGCTTGTTCCACTGGAATTCTCCCATCAAAGGTCTATCCTCTCGTTGCTAGGTCCCTTGCCAGATGAGCGATGAGCCTACCATAGCACTTGGTCTTTCCACCACTTTGCCCAATCTGATAGAATGAGTATGCTGCCCTCAAAATCCTTAAGGGATTCTCCATTGTCAATTCGATGCCATTCACCGTCACTGAGCTCGGCAGAGCCACTCCCACTTCATGATGGACTCTTTGATCATCTAGATTAACTCCACCATTCTCCTCTTGCTCAGCGGGAATGTCTACTCCGTCAAACTCTGCAAAATCCTCATCTGTACTAGCTTATAGAACTACCAATTCATCAAAAACTTCAGGCTTTGGTCTGGGCACTGCATAGTTCTCTTCCAGCTCAAAGCCAAAGGTTTCCGGCACCATGCCCTCTTCAGCCACGAAGGTCAGAATCTTTCCCCCTTCACAGCCTTGAAATTCTTCAATTTCTTCCTCCTGATCCAGGAATCTCATCATTGGTTCAGCCAATTTCAACCAATTTCCATCTGTCGTCCTTCTTCACCAAAGTCGACCTGCACATCGTTTCACTCTGGTTTCGAAATTCTGGAATGAATTGCGGGCTCTGATGTCTTCCACAGTGGTGCACTCCCAACCAAAATTCATCCATCTTCTTCCAGCCGAATCCTTCTTCAGCTGTCTTGCTCAGCTCATCATTGAGCCTCTCCACCAGCATGCGGATTTTGCCCGGCTCAAGGACCACGCGAACTGCACCTTGGACAACCAGGCTCTGGTTCTGATACGCCAATGGCATCAATGGACCATCCGATTCTCTCCTTCAAAATCACCCTTCTCCCATTTCTACTGACCAGCACGATGTCCACATCCTTATGACCATAAATCCTGATCTGAGATCCTTGTGCATCTTAGAGATATGGTGATGCACCTGTCACCTATTTTCCCTTCCCCAACAGGTGTCCCGGGAAAAGAGATGCATCTGCCCCAAATTCCACAATGATGGAGACCATCGAACCTTCGTCAGATTCATC